TAAAGGGAACAAGAAGTAAAGTTAAAAGAGAGTTAAGAAGAAAGGGAATAAATGATAGGAAGGGAATGGAACTAAACAACAAGGAAAAAGAATACAAGAGACAGGACAGAGAGTAAGAAAAAATGCATAGGAAGAAAGTAGAACTAAAGGAGAAGGAAGAAAATAAATCAGAATGTGAGAAGAAAAGGAGTTGGAGGCAAAGCTAGACAAAGGGGAATAGGGAGAAAAGAAAAAAGTTAAAAGTTTTTGTCCCTGGTCTACCTTTCCTGCCACAGCTCAGACTCTCTGTCACTGCTGCCTGTTCTGATGAAGTGTGCAGCACAACTCCAGACTTAGTCTGAGTAAGAATGAGATTTTCAACTTCACTTTCTGTCTGCAGTTCACCCAGGCACGTCATTCCTAGTTCCATATTATATAATCTCACTTTTTTGTTTCTTTATTACTATTTCTTCTAGAAACAATAAACCTTCTTTTTGTAGTATCAAGTAGTGAAGGTGCAGTTAAAAACCAACACGTCTCTTAGCATCTCATAGTTGGCTGTAAGAATCAGGGCTGAATTACACTGACGACACAAGATGATTGGTTATTTTGAGAAGGAGGGGGGGAAGTGGACTGTCCAGTCATGGATATCATGGGTCGAAAACACGAGCAGATAAACAGGCGCTGCTTCCTTGTCGCATTGAAAGCGATAAGTGAAGCCAGAGGACGAGGAGCTGGGATTCTTATCACTGTGTCCTGGATAGAGCCGGCGCCACTGAGAGCCATGTTGCTGTGTGACAAAGGTGTCTGAGCAGATAAGCATGTGTGAAATTTTTCTAAGATGTGCTAAAGTCTGGATGAGTTAGGTAGAGAGAGATAGAGAGAGGAATGCCTAAAGGCATGGATGCTGACGTCTGTTATTCTGTGAGCTTGTCCTCGTCTTTTTGAAGCTCTAAAAAGTGCCATTGAAAACGGGTTGTGAATACAGATTGGCCAAAAGCAATAAGGAAGGAGGAGGAAGTGCTCACTTTCTTCTTTTATGTTAAGGCAGACTGCTACAGGCTAAACAGGCTAAACAGGCTAAAGAAAGTATCAAGGCCCTCTAGTGACGTCTTGTGGTGAGATGGTCGCATGTGCTGCTATACAACAATATCTTTATACCAAAACAGTTGCTTTAAATCTGTTGAAACTGTTTTATCCAATTCATTTGTTTAAATGTTGACAATTTGTTTTCATACAAAGCATTACATGTTTAAAAATTGACATTTTTTTGTACAAAGCAAACATTAGCTAAAATTATCCTGCTATGTTTTGAAATATTGAAACAGGAGTGGTCTCTTTCCCATGTTGAATCACTAATC